AAATACTAGGTGGTTTAATTTTATAAATTACACGTTTAATTTAAATTAAATATAAACCATATCATTATGGATTTATTAACTTTCTTTTAATTATACCTTTAATTAACTTAATAAAACCATAAGGGTGTAATTTGAACTTTTTCAAAACTAGGGTTTTAGAATTTAACATTTTAAAATCAAACTTTTAATCAAAATTTAAATTCCAAAACTTGAGGGCAAGTTTTGAAACATTTCAAAATATTAGGGTTCAGAATTTAAATATTTCAAAGTTCAACTTTTAATCAAAAATTTAAATTCCAAAACTTGAGGACAAATTTTGAAACCTTTCAAAATATTAGGGTTTAACTATTTAAGTTTCAAAACTAAAACTTTTAAAGTTCAAATTTAAACTATAAAACCTAAGGGGTGTAAATTGAAACTTTTCCAAACTTTATCAAGAACATTCTAGATCAACAATTCAAATAAGGTAATTAACAATTAATTATGGTTATCTAATTTTGATCTAGTCCAATTACTTGCAAGATAATTCTCCAAATAACTAAAATAATTAAACATTATCTTATAAGGCAACAAATGTTTGATTAATTGGTAATTATCTACTATTTTGGCAAGGATATTCACCCAAAATCAATAAACATCGGATTTTACTAATTAAAAACGTTTATGGTAAGTATTCCAAGCCAAAACAGCAAGCAAATCACGAAAATATGCTGGCAGACCCTTTGGCTCGTCGAGTCCAGGCCTGGACTCGTCGAGTACAGCCGACTCGGCGAGTTCACCAAGTGACTCGGCGAGTCTAGCAGTCAGAATCAAAAAAATTCGATTTTTAAGCAATTTTCGATCAAATAAGCATCAAATTCATAAACAAACAGCCCTAGTCTCTGATACCACTGATGGGTTTTGAGCACTACAACATTCCTATGGTGTACATGCAAACCCTAAAGCTTTGGATCTAGTTTGTCTAATGAACATGCAATAATCATCCAAAGCCATAAACCCTAGATCTAGCATGTGACAATATTAACATAAGAATAAGGGTTTAGATCATACCTTGATTGTTATGTAGCAATAACAATCTATTCCTTCTTGTAATTGGTTTCTAAAAGCTTAGAGTCACAAATGTCACTCCTCTAATGGTTTACAAACACCAAGAGCAAGAGGATGAAGAAGGAGAAGAAGAGAGGCACTCAAAAACGTCTAAAAACCCTAAGGATTCAGTTGTCCACGTTTTTGGTGCCATATGGGTGCTTAAATAGTGAGACTATTAGGGTTATCTAACAAGGAAACCCTAATTTGACTGCTTAGGCCATAAGCAACCCATGGACTCCTCCTTTAGAGGCCTTGGACAATTTCTAATGGGTTTCCCCATAGAATTCGTCCACCCCTCTAATAAGAAGTCCATTAGCCTAATATTCAACTATCACACAATTGACAGTTCTAGTCCCTAAGTTTAATTAATCTCGGTTACCCATAAAAATTAATTCTTAATTAATATTGACTAATATTAATTAAACAATATGATTTCTCCTTTAATATATTATTCTCTAATATATTAATAAATCATAATTAATCCTCTTTCTCCATAATTCATCCTATCAAGTTGCTTTGGTGAAGGCAACCCAAAAGGACCATGCACCATCGGGTCAAGTACATACCAAAATAGTTATGGACTTAGACACTAATCCAACAAGATCAACGAGCGCAGGTCACGGAGACTCAAGAAATCGGGTGGAGGAATCGTTTGGGGGTGTTGTCGATTGGTGGAAGTCGAGGTTGTGTTTCCGGTGGTGGTAATCGACGAGACAAGATCTTCAGAGTTCTTTGATTAATAGGAACAGAAGAGAAAGGAGAGCGAGGGCAAAGGAGGTCATCGGTCTTTGGCCGGTTGCGAATGGGAAACGGAGGCAGTGAAGTTCGACGGGAAGAAGAATCGAAGTGTAGCTCCGATTTATAACAGGTTTTTCTTCTTCTTATTTTGACTGTAAATCCATGAAGTTGAATCAACAGGTTTATATGGGTGTTTGGGTTTGACTGTTTGACAGAAATTCGATGGGTGTTTGTAGAAGTGATTGAGTTTGTTGTTTTCACAGGGATGGGAGAAGAACACGAATGGGAAACTGCCATGGTATTGCTAGAAACAAAAAAGAAGAAACACAGAAGTGATTTGATTTTTTTTAATCCGATCAATATTTTTCATTTTTTTTCCAGTTTAAGATTTTGCTTCTTGTTGGTTGTTTGTGAATTAAAGTTACTGATCTTTATCCTTGTACGGGTTATGGATTTGTGTTTGAGTGTGGGGCGAACAGGGAGGAAATCTGGTGGTGTTTTTGAAGAGAAAAAGAAGAGATGGGTGTGAGGGTTGGTTCGATTGAAGCGACAACGACCCTGGGAGAGTGTTCAACGACATTTGTTTAGAGTTCAAATGGTCTGATTGATGCAGCAAAGGGACTGATTCAAATGGTCTGATTCATATTTCAATTTATGTTTTTTTTTTATTTAACACTTCATTTATGTGGACAGTGCAGGAACTTGACAAGGTTGAATTCTGAAAAGGTATCAAGTATGTTTATGTAGATGATTCAATGGATGATATTGGTGAGATTCCAATTCTATTGGAATGGAATCACGTATTCCAATTCTATTGGAATCACAGAAGTTGATGCTTGAAGAACGGACCACATTATTCTTTTAGAATGTATTAGTCGTTGTTAGATTTTGATGTTTTCTTTCCCGTTTTGAAAGTTTTTTTAGTTTTATTCTTTAACAATAAATGTAATTCTTAACAATTGTTACCCGTATTCTATAAGAAATAATGTATCAATTGATTGTTCAAGAATTTGTTATTCTACAAGAAGTTTTTAAAGTCATGATCAAGAAATGGGTTCAAGAATATTTTTATTATTTATGGTTCAACAATATTTTTATTTTTGAGTAAATAATTAAATAAATAAACATATTCTGTCAGAATGTCCGAATTAAAATAGTTATAATTCGTAAAATCGGATTTTTAAAATTAATAGAATCTATGATCCCTTAAAATATGCAATTTTCATTTATTAAATCTATATTAATTGACTAAAATATCCTTGTAATTAAATTAGATGATATTTTTCAATTACATTTAATTCAATAATATATATTAATCACTTTCTTAAAATAAGTAAAATTGATTGGCCCACAGTTATGCATACAATAACACAATAATTACTTTGAATAGAATAACAGGCATATATATATATATATATATATAATATATATATATATATATATATATATATATATATATATATATATACTATCCGTTTATCCGCGCTAAGCGACGGGTGCGAATATTTATTGCGGCAATTCTTTTTATTCAGAAACATGTTATATTTCAAGGAAAATAAGTTATAATTTTTTATTTTAAATTATAGGTATGTTACCTGAATGGGTTTAAAGTGAATGTACGTTGTTATTTTGGTTGAAATAAAGAAAGTTGTACAATGTTGTTTTTATTTTTAAATAGATATAAATTGTCATTAAGCCTAAGAACTAATAATTGGTGGTGACTAATTAAATAATTAATATTTTATTTGTTTTTTAAAAAAAAAGTTAAACTAAAATTTAAAACCCTACAAATATTGATTATGTATTGGTACACAATTACTTCAACATATATTTAACATAGATAGCATTTCAAACATATTATTTGTTTCGTTGTAATTTTACAAATTAACCTTATCTCTTTTCTTCTAACTATTGCAGCTCTTTTATATGGTTATCTACTTATTTACATAATTTCTATATACATGTATATTATTAAAAAAAATGGACGTTTATGTATTTCTCTCCATTTTTTTCTGATTATAATTAGGAATACAAAGATCTATGGCAATTCTTTTACCAGTCTATTGCTATCCAAACATTTATCGATATATAAATAATATAACTGCAATTAATGAATTGTTTATAAGATTTCTTTTTGAAAACGATGCATAGACCCATTATAGTAATAAATTCATCGACTATTTGTTAAACACAAAACGACAACAGATTATTCAATTAATCTTAGCCGATATATTTCAGTATTAAAAAATAAATCAATATTTTTAACTACTTAAGTAGCAACATTCAGAAGCAGCTAGTTTTTGGAGGACATGCATTTATCAAACACCTACTTGACAGAAACAATTATACAACATCATTTTCCATCATGTATAAAAAACCTATTTCATACACTTATCAAACGTCATTCTACATTCAAGATCTTTTCTAAAACATAAAGAGGTCAATTTCTTTGGTCTTGGATTCAAAGATTCCAAAGATCAAGTTGACCATTTCGCCCTTGATGCTATATTGATGAGTTTGTGGGTAATATTGTTATTGATGTTCTTTTCTCTGCTGCTTTCATTGGGGATAATATGTTTGTTGTTTTGTTAATCTGATGGTATTTAGTACAAGTGCATATTAGGACCTGATAGCAAAACAGCCCCACTTTACCATGCCAAAGCAGCCCTAATGTGAACAAAATATGCTAATTTTAATCTATTTAAACTTGATGTCAAACTGCCCCTTAATTGCTATAAGTTACTCTAAAAATTTTAATTTTTCACCAATATGACTTGATTGCAAAACAACCACACTTTACCCTTTTTACCATGCCAAAGCAGTCCTAATGTGACCAAAATATGCTAATTTTATCACATTTAAACTTGATGACAAAATGTATCCCCTTAAATAGAAGTGTGTTACTATAAATTACTCTAAAATATGCACCGGTGGTTTTAGGCTAGCGCGTTAAATTAAACAATTTATAAAATCGAATGGTTAAAATGTACCTAGAAATAATAAAGAGGCTTTTTTAAACATTAACAGATAATAATAATAGATTGGGTTTTTTTGTGGTTTTCCCTTTATTATAATCACTTTAATTATCTTTTAAGATTACGATTAAGCACCTTTTTCCATCACACCCACATCAACCAAGGAAGATTCATCAATAAAGTTACTTAATAGTACTTTCATGATTTCAATCTAACAATTTAACAATTTAAAAATACATCTAACAACAAAATTTGTGGTAATTTCATTTTCATCACATCACCTTAAAAGTAGAAGTATTAAAAAAAAAAAAAATGGTCAACTCTTGAACCTAATACTTCGGCTGAGAGTATTATTAATACCAGACCCTTCACCACCATATGGACCTGTTGGGGTCCTGTGTGCACGTACTTGCCCTTTCCTAGCAACTTCTTTCTTCTTGTGTTTCAACTGCACAAAATTAGTATACTTTTAGCTTTCATATTTTGGCCACAACAGTTTTGTATATTGGCAGGTTTGGTCCCTATAAATTTTGGGTTTCAAACTTTCACCGCAAGACTTTTCTATATTGGCATGTTTGGTCCCTGGACTTTCGTATATTTACAAATGAATAGTATAACAGTTTTCTATATTGGCAGGTTTGGTCCCTATAAATTTTGGGTTTCAAACTTTCACAGGAAGACTTTTCTATATTCGCATGTTTGGTCCCTGGACTTTCGTATATTAACAAATGAATAGTATACTTTTAGCTTTCATATTTTGGCCACACCAGTTTTGTATATTGGCATGTTTGGTCCCTGGACTTTCGTATATTTGCAAATGAATAGTATTAACAGTTTTGTATATTGGCATGTTTAGTCCCTATAAATTTTGGGTTTCAAACATTCACCTGAAAACTTTTGTATATTGGCATATTTGGTCCCTGGACTTTCGTATATTAAGTTATTACCAAATCAATAGTATACTTTTAGCTTTCATATTTTGGCCACAACAGTTTTGTATATTAGCAGGTTTGGTCCCTAGAATTTTTGGATTCAAAACTTTCACCACAAGACTTTAGTATATTGGCAGGTTTGGTCCCTAGACTTTTGTATATTTTGTTTTGGGTTTCAGACTTTCATATATTGGCAAGTTTAGTCCCTATACTTTCATATATTGGCAAGAAATTTAAGTATGTTGCTATTAATGATATTCCACATACCTTGTATTTCTTTCTTGGATTTTTTAAATCTTTGTTGCGTTTGCGAGTCAACCCTCTGTTCTTCTCCATCTGTACAAAATCAAAAACAATAAGTTTTTTTATCAAAGAAAAATATTATATTAATTAAATAATCATAAATGTCATGAATATAATAATAATAAATATATAATTACCGCATAATTGATGTGACGTTTCCCATCAACCAAAGTTTCTGGCATTGCAACCACAGGAGCAGTTCTACAAAACCAAAAAAAAAATAATAAACAAAATAAAAATCACAATATGCCTTCACAAATTTATAATATATAACAAAAAAACAAAATGATTTCAATATATATATACCTAGAATACTTTTGTGCTTTAGCAGCGAGTTTGGCATCACGTTTTATTTTGGTTTCTTTATAAAGATCAGTCTCTGATTCTGTCTCACCATCTTCATTTGAGTCATCATCAACTCCATTAGCCTCAAGGGTAGTTTCGTCATTTTGCATATCATCATCAGAATGGATTCCAGCACTCGCAAGAACCCGTGTTTCATGCTTTCTTCGCCTTTCTCCAATGTCATCTCTCTTTGGTAAATCATCATCTCCAGATATAACCTTTTTAACAAAAAGATCAATTTTTTAGAAATAATCATTTTAAAAAAAAAAATTGTTATACAAAATTCTTTCTTACCCTTGGCTTCTTTATCTGAGTAACAAGTTGTGAAAGTCTAGACTTATTTTGGCTTCCATCAATATTAAACGTCTCATCATCAAAATCATCAAAAGCCTCTAACTTTCTGCTTAATTTTTACATAAAAATTAAAAATTATACTTCATAGACATTTTATTTAACCAAAAAGAATCAAAGTTAAAAGAATAAAAGATACCCGTTTAATGGTTTTGCATTCTTTTTAATCCCATCTGTTTTTGGTGCTTTTATATTAAATACACCTTTTTGCTTTAGTTTCTCCTCAAGGGCAGTTCTGACTTTTAACATTTCAACACTTTGTAAGCCACGTTTCTCATTCTCTTTCTCATCATTCTCACGCTTACGTTTTCCTCCATTAACAATTTTGGTTTCCACATGAGGCTAAATATATAACAAGAAATGTAAAATTAGATGTTTATAAGAGAAATTAAAGAATGTGAAAATATTCAAATACTAACTTCTTCTTGTGTTTCTAAAAGTTCAATTGTGGGCTTGTGAGTGTTGATAGTAGGTGAAATCTCAATCTCATTTATTGTTGTTGTGGAAACATGTTTTTTGAGATAATCTTCAACCTCAAATGATAGATTTTCATCAAGTGGTTTCATCTGCAATAATAGGGAAATACAGTAGACATGTTATGTTTATGAATATACACAAGGGGTAAAATGGTAATTTTTACACACAAACCTTGTCTAACAAGTTCTTAATCTCCACAAGGCGAGCAAGAACAGGGTGATCAAGAACTGAATGCCCTTCAGATTTAAGAAGAAGATGAAAGGTGATTGCTTGACAATATGAAAGTAGAAGTTGCTTTTTCAACTCCATATATTGTATTCCAGGTTTATTTAAATTCTTCTCTTCTTTAAGCTTCACAAAAATAAAAAAATATAAAGTTTAGTATCTTTATTAAGTTTAACGATTTATGATGCCACTTAAAGAATAAAGATACCTTGTTTAAAATTGGGTCAACTTTGGTCTCAAGCTGGTCAACAGCTTGATTTAGCTCTGATAACAAACCAACTAATTCTGGAGCTGAGCTGTTGAGCAAAAGATTGTTCAAGGAAATGTTATTATTTATAAAAATTTGATTCAAAACAAGAAAACTAATTAAAAGAACTCACTTGTATACAATGTCCATTTGTTCTTCTTTTGACAAAGCACTTGGATCCTTCATAACTATTTCAACACCAGTATCAGTATCATCTTCATTGTCCACTTTCGATTTTGATGAAACTTTTCCCTTTTTCAATTTTTCCTCAAACGTAGGTTCTTCTTCATCATCATCATCATCATCAAGACCATGGTCTGCATTTGAGTATAACTTTGTTTTTTCGTTTTGTAGCCTCACAACTTCTGCCTCTTCTTCATCTTCACTTGATTCTCCCTTTTGAAGCAATATAAAAAACATTACTCCAGGTTTAATTTACTTCAATATTATTGTCTTTGGAAAATATAATCATATGTTGTTTACCTTATCATTGTCATAATATATGTTTTTGCCCCTTCCCCAAGCTACACTTTTTTTCTCTTTATCTTCTTCTTCATCATCATCCTGTGTTTCATCCTTGGCGCCTCCAATCTTTGCCTTTAAACTTTTTTGTTGTTTTGCAACTATCAACAACAATGAAATAAAACAAAATTAAAAAGAATTCGAGGCATTCAAAACTAAAATCGGTCAATTGATCTTACTTTTTGCAGCTAATGTGTCATCTTCATCTTCATCTTCATCTTCATCATCATCATCATCATCATCATCATCATCATCACTTCCATCCTGTAAACAATAATATATAATTCAATCAAAACGCGAGGAATAAAGTTTTGAAAAACAAAGAGGAAAGCTATCGGAAAAACCTCGATTTCAAAGACATGTTGGTCATTATCTTCGTCAGATTCCGCAATATCATCGTCTAGGTCTAATGGAACTATATCCCTCTGCTTATGAACTGAAATAAAAATATAAAAGAATCATAAACAGTTATAAAACAAAGTCACAGACACCTAAGCAAACAATAACCTTTTCGTTAAATGGAATTGGACAGATACAATACACACATACATACTGGTTGAGAGAAAGATTGGTAAACTTACAAACATCAATTTCGTCGTCCATGTCGGAGTCTGAAAAAGTAGATAGTGATTTCTGAGGGGTTTTCTTGTTACTGCTCTGACCCTTTGATCCTTTCGCCATTATCACTCAACAGAAAGATATTCGAGATAGAAAAGAGAAGGACCGATTAGCATACAAAAGGGGCGCCGCTCAAAGTTTTGAGGGTTCTTCCTTACTTCAAAGGTAGAGCTCGATTAAACGGTTTAAACCCCAGCTTACAGGGTTTCTATATCAGACAGATGTTTTCTTGGGTTTTACTTATACAAGAATCATCCCTTGTCTATTCTTTATTTTACATTTTTCTCCCTTTCACATAATATTTTGAATAAATAGCCCATGTCTCATTTTTCAAACATTTGGTACAAATTAGTGAATTACTATCGTTTATTTCGATACAAATTACCAACGTTTATTAAATGTCCATTTTTGGATTTCAAATGATATATAATATTTTTATTTATTGAATGTTCATTTTAGATTTCAATGATATATAATAAATTTTTATTTATTGAATGTTCATTTTAGATTTCAATGATATATAATATTTTTTTTCTATATTTGAAAAACTTTTTATATATATTTGAAATAATCAATAGTCATATTTTGAAATATTTAATACCAACCATTTTTCAATCCAAGTCAATTTTTATGCTTTTGTATGGTTGTATCTCTTTTTCATTTACTATGTTTCTTTAATTTTTGTTATATTTTAGTAAAAAACAAAATACTTTCTTAAAATTTCTAATTTGTTGATTAGATTTCAAATATGTTTTTAATTTTTAGAAATCGTTTTGTCTGAGATCTGAAATTTAAATCAAAAATGTTTTTTTTTCTTTTTCAAAAAATAATTACACCCCAAAACTATAACAAAATATACCAATGATAGATTGTTGCTTAGAAATTCAAAGTGAACGTATCAAAACTAGAAAAAAAAAATATACCAAAATAAAACCATGCTTAGAACATTCAATGGGTACATATGGTGTTATAACATCCGTTTCTCGATTCTTGGTATTTAATTCTTTTTAAAATGATTAAAAGGAATAATAATAATATTAATAATATATAAGTCCAAGGTCTAAATGGTAATTTTCAGAAATCAAATTTGTGAGACAAATTAGGCTTAAGATTTATTGTGTCAGCATGTTGAACCCTATGGACTAACATGCCAAAACCTAATTTTCAACTTGTCTTCTATAATACAGTTACCATGTCTTATTTTCTTATTTTGTTGTTTGCATTGATTGTTTAAGGAAGCTTTAACCAACAACTATGACTTTAACTTCAAATCGTGAAGTTGAAGTTTATATGGAGGGTTTGAATGGATCTGATGAAGAAAAATATGTTGCTTTTGAATGACTTGATGAAATTGATGATGCTAAATGGACCCCTTTCAGATGAAGAATTTGACAATGGAGAGGACAAAGATTAGAAAATTAGGGACCAATTTCTTGTACGCAACCCTAGGATACCTTGGAATAAAATGGAACCACAAGAAACTCAATTTTGATATTGAAAATGGTAAGAAATAATTTGATACCTTGATGGGGTGCCTGAAACTCAATTTGATATTTAAAATGGTAAGAAATAATTTTATCTATATATATTTTATGCTTATATTAAATTTAATTCTTTCATAACTTTTGCAGTTAATTTGAAAGATCAATCTCATATGGTTGGCGGGATAGAAATTGATGTACCTATTATCCGTGCAAAGCTCAAACCAAGAAAGGCATCTAAATAAGGATAGAGGTGGATCTACATAAGACAACCCTATTAATTTTGAATAGGGCAAATACCATAAAAGCTACTACATTTTCACGCGTTTTTTAGAAAAGCTCTCTACTTTTTTTTGGTTGGCTCTGTCTACAAATTGGACATAGAGTTACCGCTCTAACCAATTTAACGATTTTCATGGTTAACTCTATTAAATTTTTTCAAAATCAGTCATAAAGTTCAAATTTGGTCCCTGTAGTTT